CAAGATATTAGGCCATGGTTTAGGACGCCCGTAAAGTTCTCCTGTAAGAGAAATAATTCGATTATCAATTATGGGATAAATACTTTTGTCAGGGCTAGCCAGTAGGAAACATACAAGGGCAACAGCCTCATAATTAATGTAGCCTCCTGTGTATTTATTTGGCCCTGATGCCGCTCTGAAACCAGGCTGGCGGGAAGGCTTCCCTTTACAGCTTTAGAAGTTTACAGATTGCCTTATGATACCAAGGAAGCTGGTCACAATCGTGGAGGCTTTAAATTCTTGTGCACATCAAGACTCCTGGCTCTGAGACAGGGTTTTCCTGTATGGATTTGGAGGCTCTCGGACCAGCCTGGCCTCGACCTCACAGAGATCCTCCTGCCTCTCGCTCCCGAGTGCTGGGATTAAAGGCGTGTGCCACCACCGCCCAGATAAACCAAGCATTTGAAATGAGGAAATGTTCAAGGTCACCAAGCACTACAAGAGATTGAATTATTCTCAGAGAAACTGAGCACACACCTTTAATCCCAGCACTGAGGAGGTGGAGACAGAAGGGGTGTGGCTTGGCAGAGGGAGGTATATAATGCAGGAAGAGAGCCAGCTCACCCCATTCAGTCTGAGGATTCTAGACACCGGTTCTCCTCCTTTGTGCCTAAGGATTCACGAGAGGTAAGAAGTCACACTTGGGATTGGGTCTTTGATTCTCTGCCCTTTCAGAATTAACTCTGATTTCTGACTCTGGGTTTACTAAGACTAATTAGTATTCTGGCTACAAAACCTGTTGTTTTAATTTGTGTTTTTGCTAAACCCCAGGAATGTAACTGTGGACATTTTACATGATGAGGGTCAATGTCTGCAGCTTACTTACAGTGCTTTGTACTCAGAAATGATGTTCTAGGATTGCAGCAGTCTAGCATCTGTGGGTGAGAACAGCTTGTTTGAAATCACATCCAAAATTAGCATTTTTGAGTTCCATGCGCATAGTTGTAAACACTAACATTTAACATTGAAATTTTTACCCAGCATTACTTTTTCAACTGAGAAATATGCACTGTCAAGTTAATATAGCGTTCTAAATAGGAATTTGACAGATTGGTGGGAAACAAGTTTTATCCCACCATTGGTGAGGCAAAGACAGCTGGAAGTCAGTGAGATACAGGCTATCCCTTCACTGTATTGATTTCTACTTCAGCCTGGGCTTCGTGGTGAGAATATTTCTCTGAAAAGAAAAAGAAAAACAGAAATTTGTGTTTTTGTGCCGGGTCCTTACAGTTACACTCTTGAGCCTGTTTCATGGTACCAGGCCACCGTATTTTCCCAGTTAGAAAAGGAGTTTTAAACAAGCTGGTGTCGACACAGGTCTGTAATCCAATTTTTCCGTATTGTCGTGGTATCTGATTCCAGGTTTTTAAGCACGAATTAGAATTCTGGAGAACACGAGGTCTGATTCCGAGACCACCATGGCCAACAAAATGGATATGTCTTTGGATGACATCATTAAGCTGAACCGGAGCAAGCAAGGCAGTCGCGGCAAAGGCCAGGGCTGGAGCAGTGCCGGCTGCCAGGGCCGCCACGGTGGTGCCAGGCGGGCCCCTGTGTGGGCGAATCGACGCAGCTGGTCTCTGAAGAACCGGCCTACCATGAGTGGTGGCTCTGCAGGAGGAGGCAGGAACCGGCCGGCTCCGTACAGCAGGCCTATACAACTTCCCAACAAGGGGCAGCATGACCGATTCGACAGCCGCTTCTGTGGTGGAGCCAGCTTGGAGATGGGCGGAAAGCTGTTGGTGTCAAACCTTGACTGCGGGGTGTCAGACGCGGATATTCTGGAACTCTTCTCAGTGTTTGGAACACTGAAGACAGCAGCTGTGCACTACGATCGCTCCGGACGAAGTTTAGGGACAGCCCAAGTGCACTTTCGACAGAAGGCAGATGCTCTGAAGGCTATGAAACAGTACAATGGTGTCCCTTTAGATGGCCGCCCCATGAACATTCAGCTTGTGACATCACAGACTGACTCACAAAGAAAACCCGCACAGAGAATGATCAGAGGTTCCATGAGTAGAAACCATGGCTCATGGTGTTTTGGTGGCGGTCTCATCCGGAGAGGGACCCGTGGAGGCAGCCCTGGAAGAGGTAGAGGAGGTTCGAGCAGGAACTCCAAGGAGCCTCTTTCTGCCGAGCAGTTGGATGCACAGCTGGATGAGTACAATGCACAGATGGACACCAGTTAAACAGCCGGGCAAATCCACAGAAGTGACAGGACCCAGAAGCTTCGTCCGTAATCCCTCGAGGGAGGGTTGGCAACTGGACTGTGCACACAATGGGGGATTTCTTTTTCGTTTGTCTCTCTCTCTCTCTCTCTCTCTCTCTCTCTCTCTCTCTCTCTCTCTCTCTCTCTTTTCCCTGTTTTAAAATGGGATCTAAAAACTCATGTAAAGGCTTTCTTCCCCTCTTTTTTTAATTCTGAAACCGACCTGTTTTGTACCGAGTCACTTTGGCGATCAGTTTTACTGGTGACTGTTGTGGAGAAGGTGGCATGTTCACCTTTGCCATAATAAACTAGAATTGTGTGTAGGAAAGAAAATAAAAAGAGAATTCTGGCTTCAAAACCTATTGTGTTTTTGTTTGTTGTGAGCTGACACCTAGTGGTGAGACTGTGTAATTCCCACAAGAGGAGGGTCAATGGCTGCAGCCTGCTCAGGGGGGGATTTTTACAGAGAATGGATGTGGCCGAGTTGCAGCAGTCTGCTTTGTGTGGGTGAGAAGTGTTTCCTTGCTGCCTCCCTTGCTCCTCCTGAGGGTTTCTTGGGAAATTACTTGTTAAGTGTATTTCTTTCAGGCAGATTTTCATTAAATTTGGTCTACAACAAATTAAGTAATTCATTTTATGTGCTTTTGTGATCCCAAACATTCAGTTCCATTTCTGCTCCTGAGGTTTGACTGGGAAGTGATTGGAAGTGGCATTCAAGTTACACTCACTGAAGAGCTGGTTTCTAGTGATTTTCCATGCTATGCCTGTTTATGTCAAATGGGGAATCACTTGTAGAGTCCTATAACTTTAACTACTCGTGTAGACTTCTGTGTTAACAATCCAGGCACTTTCCTTGTGAATGATCTCTTTCTCATGTTGGGGGCAATCAATCCCCCAGTTCTGCGCACCTGCGGAGCCAGACAAAAAGTCCTAGAAAGTGGAGAGGGAGGAGACGGTAGAGAATGATCCTGTGGGACACAATTCAGTTTTCCCGCATTCTGTTCTACTAGGAATAATTCTATAGACTTCCAACGAGAAAGATCTCAGAATTATCCTGCTATAGCTATGAGAAGACTTTCTATATATAAAAATTGCTACTAGTGGGAAAATCAATCTTATATGGATATTCATGTGAGTCATGCATTGTACATTTAGGTTCTCCTTCAAGATATATCCTTGCCTAATGCTCAGAAACAGGCTAGGCTTTCAGATGCAGAAATGACTTTCCTGTGGTTGATTCCTCCTGAAGTCCAATTATAAGCTGTTGGTTACCACCAATGTCTGTGTGCTGCTCTTGCAGCCTTCAGGCTATCACGCAGTGCAGACCATTGTTATGGTTCATAATTTTCATACCTGGGAAGGGCACTTGGCTTTATGTTGGGCGAAGTCTTGTGTATTTGTCGATAAGAACTGTTGGCCAATAGCAAAGCAAGATAGGTGGGACTAGGAATCAAGGAGGACTCTGTGAAGGAGAAACACAGATTTCAAGATATTAGGCCATGGTTTAGGACGCCCGTAAAGTTCTCCTGTAAGAGAAATAATTCGATTATCAATTATGGGATAAATACTTTTGTCAGGGCTAGCCAGTAGGAAACATACAAGGGCAACAGCCTCATAATTAATGTAGCCTCCTGTGTATTTATTTGGCCCTGATGCCGCTCTGAAACCAGGCTGGCGGGAAGGCTTCCCTTTACAGCTTTAAAAGTTTACAGATTGCCTTATGATACCAAGGAAGCTGGTCACAATGGTGGAGGCTTTAAATTCTTGTGCACATCAAGACTCCTGGCTCTGAGACAGGGTTTTCCTGTATGGATTTGGAGGCTCTCGGACCAGCCTGGCCTCGACCTCACAGAGATCCTCCTGCCTCTCGCTCCCGAGTGCTGGGATTAAAGGCGTGTGCCACCACCGCCCAGATAAACCAAGCATTTGAAATGAGGAAATGTTCAAGGTCACCAAGCACTACAAGAGATTGAATTATTCTCAGAGAAACTGAGCACACACCTTTAATCCCAGCACTGAGGAGGTGGAGACAGAAGGGGTGTGGCTTGGCAGAGGGAGGTATATAATGCAGGAAGAGAGCCAGCTCACCCCATTCAGTCTGAGGATTCTAGACACCGGTTCTCCTCCTTTGTGCCTAAGGATTCACGAGAGGTAAGAAGTCACACTTGGGATTGGGTCTTTGATTCTCTGCCCTTTCAGAATTAACTCTGATTTCTGACTCTGGGTTTACTAAGACTAATTAGTATTCTGGCTACAAAACCTGTTGTTTTAATTTGTGTTTTTGCTAAACCCCAGGAATGTAACTGTGGACATTTTACATGATGAGGGTCAATGTCTGCAGCTTACTTACAGTGCTTTGTACTCAGAAATGATGTTCTAGGATTGCAGCAGTCTAGCATCTGTGGGTGAGAACAGCTTGTTTGAAATCACATCCAAAATTAGCATTTTTGAGTTCCATGCGCATAGTTGTAAACACTAACATTTAACATTGAAATTTTTACCCAGCATTACTTTTTCAACTGAGAAATATGCACTGTCAAGTTAATATAGCGTTCTAAATAGGAATTTGACAGATTGGTGGGAAACAAGTTTTATCCCACCATTGGTGAGGCAAAGACAGCTGGAAGTCAGTGAGATACAGGCTATCCCTTCACTGTATTGATTTCTACTTCAGCCTGGGCTTCGTGGTGAGAATATTTCTCTGAAAAGAAAAAGAAAAACAGAAATTTGTGTTTTTGTGCCGGGTCCTTACAGTTACACTCTTGAGCCTGTTTCATGGTACCAGGCCACCGTATTTTCCCAGTTAGAAAAGGAGTTTTAAACAAGCTGGTGTCGACACAGGTCTGTAATCCAATTTTTCCGTATTGTCGTGGTATCTGATTCCAGGTTTTTAAGCACGAATTAGAATTCTGGAGAACACGAGGTCTGATTCCGAGACCACCATGGCCAACAAAATGGATATGTCTTTGGATGACATCATTAAGCTGAACCGGAGCAAGCAAGGCAGTCGCGGCAAAGGCCAGGGCTGGAGCAGTGCCGGCTGCCAGGGCCGCCACGGTGGTGCCAGGCGGGCCCCTGTGTGGGCGAATCGACGCAGCTGGTCTCTGAAGAACCGGCCTACCATGAGTGGTGGCTCTGCAGGAGGAGGCAGGAACCGGCCGGCTCCGTACAGCAGGCCTATACAACTTCCCAACAAGGGGCAGCATGACCGATTCGACAGCCGCTTCTGTGGTGGAGCCAGCTTGGAGATGGGCGGAAAGCTGTTGGTGTCAAACCTTGACTGCGGGGTGTCAGACGCGGATATTCTGGAACTCTTCTCAGTGTTTGGAACACTGAAGACAGCAGCTGTGCACTACGATCGCTCCGGACGAAGTTTAGGGACAGCCCAAGTGCACTTTCGACAGAAGGCAGATGCTCTGAAGGCTATGAAACAGTACAATGGTGTCCCTTTAGATGGCCGCCCCATGAACATTCAGCTTGTGACATCACAGACTGACTCACAAAGAAAACCCGCACAGAGAATGATCAGAGGTTCCATGAGTAGAAACCATGGCTCATGGTGTTTTGGTGGCGGTCTCATCCGGAGAGGGACCCGTGGAGGCAGCCCTGGAAGAGGTAGAGGAGGTTCGAGCAGGAACTCCAAGGAGCCTCTTTCTGCCGAGCAGTTGGATGCACAGCTGGATGAGTACAATGCACAGATGGACACCAGTTAAACAGCCGGGCAAATCCACAGAAGTGACAGGACCCAGAAGCTTCGTCCGTAATCCCTCGAGGGAGGGTTGGCAACTGGACTGTGCACACAATGGGGGATTTCTTTTTCGTTTGCTCTCTCTCTCTCTCTCTCTCTCTCTCTCTCTCTCTCTCTCTCTCTCTCTCTCTCTCTCTTTTCCCTGTTTTAAAATGGGATCTAAAAACTCATGTAAAGGCTTTCTTCCCCTCTTTTTTTAATTCTGAAACCGACCTGTTTTGTACCGAGTCACTTTGGCGATCAGTTTTACTGGTGACTGTTGTGGAGAAGGTGGCATGTTCACCTTTGCCATAATAAACTAGAATTGTGTGTAGGAAAGAAAATAAAAAGAGAATTCTGGCTTCAAAACCTATTGTGTTTTTGTTTGTTGTGAGCTGACACCTAGTGGTGAGACTGTGTAATTCCCACAAGAGGAGGGTCAATGGCTGCAGCCTGCTCAGGGGGGGATTTTTACAGAGAATGGATGTGGCCGAGTTGCAGCAGTCTGCTTTGTGTGGGTGAGAAGTGTTTCCTTGCTGCCTCCCTTGCTCCTCCTGAGGGTTTCTTGGGAAATTACTTGTTAAGTGTATTTCTTTCAGGCAGATTTTCATTAAATTTGGTCTACAACAAATTAAGTAATTCATTTTATGTGCTTTTGTGATCCCAAACATTCAGTTCCATTTCTGCTCCTGAGGTTTGACTGGGAAGTGATTGGAAGTGGCATTCAAGTTACACTCACTGAAGAGCTGGTTTCTAGTGATTTTCCATGCTATGCCTGTTTATGTCAAATGGGGAATCACTTGTAGAGTCCTATAACTTTAACTACTCGTGTAGACTTCTGTGTTAACAATCCAGGCACTTTCCTTGTGAATGATCTCTTTCTCATGTTGGGGGCAATCAATCCCCCAGTTCTGCGCACCTGCGGAGCCAGACAAAAAGTCCTAGAAAGTGGAGAGGGAGGAGACGGTAGAGAATGATCCTGTGGGACACAATTCAGTTTTCCCGCATTCTGTTCTACTAGGAATAATTCTATAGACTTCCAACGAGAAAGATCTCAGAATTATCCTGCTATAGCTATGAGAAGACTTTCTATATATAAAAATTGCTACTAGTGGGAAAATCAATCTTATATGGATATTCATGTGAGTCATGCATTGTACATTTAGGTTCTCCTTCAAGATATATCCTTGCCTAATGCTCAGAAACAGGCTAGGCTTTCAGATGCAGACATGACTTTCCTGTGGTTGATTCCTCCTGAAGTCCAATTATAAGCTGTTGGTTACCACCAATGTCTGTGTGCTGCTCTTGCAGCCTTCAGGCTATCACGCAGTGCAGACCATTGTTATGGTTCATAATTTTCATACCTGGGAAGGGCACTTGGCTTTATGTTGGGCGAAGTCTTGTGTATTTGTCGATAAGAACTGTTGGCCAATAGCAAAGCAAGATAGGTGGGACTAGGAATCAAGGAGGACTCTGTGAAGGAGAAACACAGATTTCAAGATATTAGGCCATGGTTTAGGACGCCCGTAAAGTTCTCCTGTAAGAGAAATAATTCGATTATCAATTATGGGATAAATACTTTTGTCAGGGCTAGCCAGTAGGAAACATACAAGGGCAACAGCCTCATAATTAATGTAGCCTCCTGTGTATTTATTTGGCCCTGATGCCGCTCTGAAACCAGGCTGGCGGGAAGGCTTCCCTTTACAGCTTTAGAAGTTTACAGATTGCCTTATGATACCAAGGAAGCTGGTCACAATGGTGGAGGCTTTAAATTCTTGTGCACATCAAGACTCCTGGCTCTGAGACAGGGTTTTCCTGTATGGATTTGGAGGCTCTCGGACCAGCCTGGCCTCGACCTCACAGAGATCCTCCTGCCTCTCGCTCCCGAGTGCTGGGATTAAAGGCGTGTGCCACCACCGCCCAGATAAACCAAGCATTTGAAATGAGGAAATGTTCAAGGTCACCAAGCACTACAAGAGATTGAATTATTCTCAGAGAAACTGAGCACACACCTTTAATCCCAGCACTGAGGAGGTGGAGACAGAAGGGGTGTGGCTTGGCAGAGGGAGGTATATAATGCAGGAAGAGAGCCAGCTCACCCCATTCAGTCTGAGGATTCTAGACACCGGTTCTCCTCCTTTGTGCCTAAGGATTCACGAGAGGTAAGAAGTCACACTTGGGATTGGGTCTTTGATTCTCTGCCCTTTCAGAATTAACTCTGATTTCTGACTCTGGGTTTACTAAGACTAATTAGTATTCTGGCTACAAAACCTGTTGTTTTAATTTGTGTTTTTGCTAAACCCCAGGAATGTAACTGTGGACATTTTACATGATGAGGGTCAATGTCTGCAGCTTACTTACAGTGCTTTGTACTCAGAAATGATGTTCTAGGATTGCAGCAGTCTAGCATCTGTGGGTGAGAACAGCTTGTTTGAAATCACATCCAAAATTAGCATTTTTGAGTTCCATGCGCATAGTTGTAAACACTAACATTTAACATTGAAATTTTTACCCAGCATTACTTTTTCAACTGAGAAATATGCACTGTCAAGTTAATATAGCGTTCTAAATAGGAATTTGACAGATTGGTGGGAAACAAGTTTTATCCCACCATTGGTGAGGCAAAGACAGCTGGAAGTCAGTGAGATACAGGCTATCCCTTCACTGTATTGATTTCTACTTCAGCCTGGGCTTCGTGGTGAGAATATTTCTCTGAAAAGAAAAAGAAAAACAGAAATTTGTGTTTTTGTGCCGGGTCCTTAAAGTTACACTCTTGAGCCTGTTTCATGGTACCAGGCCACCGTATTTTCCCAGTTAGAAAAGGAGTTTTAAACAAGCTGGTGTCGACACAGGTCTGTAATCCAATTTTTCCGTATTGTCGTGGTATCTGATTCCAGGTTTTTAAGCACGAATTAGAATTCTGGAGAACACGAGGTCTGATTCCGAGACCACCATGGCCAACAAAATGGATATGTCTTTGGATGACATCATTAAGCTGAACCGGAGCAAGCAAGGCAGTCGCGGCAAAGGCCAGGGCTGGAGCAGTGCCGGCTGCCAGGGCCGCCACGGTGGTGCCAGGCGGGCCCCTGTGTGGGCGAATCGACGCAGCTGGTCTCTGAAGAACCGGCCTACCATGAGTGGTGGCTCTGCAGGAGGAGGCAGGAACCGGCCGGCTCCGTACAGCAGGCCTATACAACTTCCCAACAAGGGGCAGCATGACCGATTCGACAGCCGCTTCTGTGGTGGAGCCAGCTTGGAGATGGGCGGAAAGCTGTTGGTGTCAAACCTTGACTGCGGGGTGTCAGACGCGGATATTCTGGAACTCTTCTCAGTGTTTGGAACACTGAAGACAGCAGCTGTGCACTACGATCGCTCCGGACGAAGTTTAGGGACAGCCCAAGTGCACTTTCGACAGAAGGCAGATGCTCTGAAGGCTATGAAACAGTACAATGGTGTCCCTTTAGATGGCCGCCCCATGAACATTCAGCTTGTGACATCACAGACTGACTCACAAAGAAAACCCGCACAGAGAATGATCAGAGGTTCCATGAGTAGAAACCATGGCTCATGGTGTTTTGGTGGCGGTCTCATCCGGAGAGGGACCCGTGGAGGCAGCCCTGGAAGAGGTAGAGGAGGTTCGAGCAGGAACTCCAAGGAGCCTCTTTCTGCCGAGCAGTTGGATGCACAGCTGGATGAGTACAATGCACAGATGGACACCAGTTAAACAGCCGGGCAAATCCACAGAAGTGACAGGACCCAGAAGCTTCGTCCGTAATCCCTCGAGGGAGGGTTGGCAACTGGACTGTGCACACAATGGGGGATTTCTTTTTCGTTTGTCTCTCTCTCTCTCTCTCTCTCTCTCTCTCTCTCTCTCTCTCTCTCTCTCTCTCTCTCTTTTCCCTGTTTTAAAATGGGATCTAAAAACTCATGTAAAGGCTTTCTTCCCCTCTTTTTTTAATTCTGAAACCGACCTGTTTTGTACCGAGTCACTTTGGCGATCAGTTTTACTGGTGACTGTTGTGGAGAAGGTGGCATGTTCACCTTTGCCATAATAAACTAGAATTGTGTGTAGGAAAGAAAATAAAAAGAGAATTCTGGCTTCAAAACCTATTGTGTTTTTGTTTGTTGTGAGCTGACACCTAGTGGTGAGACTGTGTAATTCCCACAAGAGGAGGGTCAATGGCTGCAGCCTGCTCAGGGGGGGATTTTTACAGAGAATGGATGTGGCCGAGTTGCAGCAGTCTGCTTTGTGTGGGTGAGAAGTGTTTCCTTGCTGCCTCCCTTGCTCCTCCTGAGGGTTTCTTGGGAAATTACTTGTTAAGTGTATTTCTTTCAGGCAGATTTTCATTAAATTTGGTCTACAACAAATTAAGTAATTCATTTTATGTGCTTTTGTGATCCCAAACATTCAGTTCCATTTCTGCTCCTGAGGTTTGACTGGAAAGTGATTGGAAGTGGCATTCAAGTTACACTCACTGAAGAGCTGGTTTCTAGTGATTTTCCATGCTATGCCTGTTTATGTCAAATGGGGAATCACTTGTAGAGTCCTATAACTTTAACTACTCGTGTAGACTTCTGTGTTAACAATCCAGGCACTTTCCTTGTGAATGATCTCTTTCTCATGTTGGGGGCAATCAATCCCCCAGTTCTGCGCACCTGCGGAGACAGACAAAAAGTCCTAGAAAGTGGAGAGGGAGGAGACGGTAGAGAATGATCCTGTGGGACACAATTCAGTTTTCCCGCATTCTGTTCTACTAGGAATAATTCTATAGACTTCCAACGAGAAAGATCTCAGAATTATCCTGCTATAGCTATGAGAAGACTTTCTATATATAAAAATTGCTACTAGTGGGAAAATCAATCTTATATGGATATTCATGTGAGTCATGCATTGTACATTTAGGTTCTCCTTCAAGATATATCCTTGCCTAATGCTCAGAAACAGGCTAGGCTTTCAGATGCAGAAATGACTTTCCTGTGGTTGATTCCTCCTGAAGTCCAATTATAAGCTGTTGGTTACCACCAATGTCTGTGTGCTGCTCTTGCAGCCTTCAGGCTATCACGCAGTGCAGACCATTGTTATGGTTCATAATTTTCATACCTGGGAAGGGCACTTGGCTTTATGTTGGGCGAAGTCTTGTGTATTTGTCGATAAGAACTGTTGGCCAATAGCAAAGCAAGATAGGTGGGACTAGGAATCAAGGAGGACTCTGTGAAGGAGAAACACAGATTTCAAGATATTAGGCCATGGTTTAGGACGCCCGTAAAGTTCTCCTGTAAGAGAAATAATTCGATTATCAATTATGGGATAAATACTTTTGTCAGGGCTAGCCAGTAGGAAACATACAAGGGCAACAGCCTCATAATTAATGTAGCCTCCTGTGTATTTATTTGGCCCTGATGCCGCTCTGAAACCAGGCTGGCGGGAAGGCTTCCCTTTACAGCTTTAGAAGTTTACAGATTGCCTTATGATACCAAGGAAGCTGGTCACAATCGTGGAGGCTTTAAATTCTTGTGCACATCAAGACTCCTGGCTCTGAGACAGGGTTTTCCTGTATGGATTTGGAGGCTCTCGGACCAGCCTGGCCTCGACCTCACAGAGATCCTCCTGCCTCTCGCTCCCTGTCCCGCGCTACCGTCTCGCCAGCAAGAACGACGCAGAACACTCGGATCCTTCTGCAGTAAAGCTTTAATGCATCTTGAGAGATAGATGATCAGCTTCTTAGAGGAGACCCCAAGCTAAGAAACCCAGCCCCTTATATAAGCCTAGGAGCTCCGAGTGAGATGTGTAGAGCCGGGATTGGTGGTTTGCACATCACCCCAGATGACGTCACGGGAGAGGCACAGTTTAAGCGGTTAACTCCAACTGACAGCGACAGTTAACTCTAACTGACAGCGACAGTTAACTCCAACTGACAGCGACAGTTAACTCCAACTGACAGCGACAGTTAACTCCAACTGACAGCGACAGTTAACTCCAACTGACAGCGACAGTTAACTCCAACTGACAGCGACAGTTAACTCCAACTGACAGTGGATGTCAGCGCCATCTTCTAACGGCAATAGCGATAGCGAGGGCGGCTCCTCACATCTCCCCCTATTCATTTATTTTTGAAGCAATAGGACACCCACAACTTTGGAGTGGAGATAGAGGTCAAATCCCCATGTGCAAATTCGGAACATGTACAAAGCTCCTCTCCAGGGTCTTATCCCCAGAGGAAGTCCTGACCAGTCCGATGTCTTTTTTCTGGGGGAAGGAGATCATGACATAGAACCTTCATGCAAGATGACTTATCTCCCAGGAGAAAGTCGTTATACCGCAGACCTCTCCTGTGCAGTGCTTAGCCTTGCAACTCCTTGGGCTGCTGAAGCCTACCCACTCTATCCCGTGCAATGAGACTAGCCTCGTGGGGTGCAAGAGCTGGGAGGCCAGCGACCTATTGCTTTAACATGGTTAACCAAATGTCAGGGGATGCTCCGTGTTCTAAGGCAGCAAGTGCTTGTGCCACCACCACTTTCTCCTTTTGTTTGGGCTCTGAGCGTACACACCATCCAAAGCATCAACACTATTCCACAGCAGAGAACTAGGCTAAATGATCCTACCCCCACCCATTCCTTAAAATAAGAAAATGCAGATGAAATCAGGGGAGAGGTCTTCCATCAGAGAAAGATCCAGATGCGTCGAATTCACTTGCAGGATCGCCATTCTCAGCTCACGGAGTGTCTGCTCAAACTCAAAAGTCCAATTCTGTAATAAATGTTGAGACAGAGCTTTTGACAGGTTAGCTGCTCTTGTAAAATTCTCATATTGTACTAAGTGACACAAAGGCCAGGCAACTTTGTTCACATCCCAATTTGGCCATCTGCCACAATATATCCAATTGTTCCTGAACCAAATTAATCTGTTGGTTTACCAACATCAGGCCTCCTTGTATCTGAGAATTGGCAGTGGCCTGTTTATCTAGGACCATGGTCACAGTGGCCTATAGTTCATTAATGGTTTGAGTTGTCTGCACAGTGGCAGAAAGTGCAAGGGCCGAGGCGGTAACCGAAGCAGTAACCGCGGCGGTGGCTATCAGGCCCACAATAATAGCAGAGATCCCAAAAATCTCGCTTTTCCCTAAACAAACTCAAATTACTTGGCGCCTCAACAGGAGCTGGAATAAATCGAGGCATGCG